CAAATGAAAGCTTTTAACAATCTCAATCTCTTCACTGTCTATCATGATGTTGCCAACTGGACCACTGGTGAGAATCTTTGTTTTCTTGGTGTTAAGCTTCAATCCATATTTAAGGTTTCAGTCCTTGAACTTGTGGAGCAAGCGCCTCAGATTCTCCTAAATTTTCAGCAAGCAGGGTTGTGTCATCTGCATAACGCAGGTTGTTGATGAGTCTTCCTCCAATCCTGATACCACATTACTCCTCATACTGCCTAGCCTCCTGGATGATCTGTTCTGCATATAGATTGAAAATGTATGGAGATAGAACATATCCTTGGCATACATCCTTCCTGATTTTGAACTATGCAGTGTCTCCTTGCTCTGTTCTCATGACTACTTCCTGGTCCAAGAATAGGTTTCGCATAAGCACAATCATGTATTCTGGGATTCCCATTCTTCTCAGAGTCAGCCACAATTTGTTGTGATTCACACAGTTAAATGTGTTTGCATAGTCAATGAAGCTCAGATAGACATTCCTCTGGTGACTACATTATGGATAGAATAATGAATAAACAGATCTGTGCTGAAAGAAGTCCAATGAGTGCTCCTTAGAGACAAGGCTGGAGAAACTTAGTTTCACTTACTGTGAGTGTATATATCATGAGGAATCAATCCTTGGAAAGAGACAACAGGCTGGGAAAAGTATAGGGTCAGAAAAAGAGAGGAAGACTTTGAACAACATGGACACAGTGGCAGTCACAATCAGCTTCGGTATGACAGATATGGTTCAGGGCCTGGCAAGTTTCAGATGTGTTGTTTATAAGATTAATAAAAGCTTCGCCAACTCAATAGTACCTAACAACAACAACAAGCTTATTATCTAGTAAGTGTTCAAATATATTAATAATACCAAAATTCCTAGTGAGTAGAATTAGCAATGATCTTTGATAAAATCTGTATTCTCTTCCATATAGCTTTAGGTGTCTTTATGAAAAAAGTACTTTATCAATATTACTCTAAAGAAACTTTTTTAAGACTGACTATATATTTTAAATTTTTTATATTTTTTACATTGTTCAATATATTCTTCCTCTCTTTTCTCTTCCCATTCCAAACCTATCCCACAACACACCCCTTGTTGCAGACTTGTTATCATACATTTATGCATAATCATATATTCCTTTCATATAATTATATATTCCTAATGGGTCTGTCCTGGAGAGGGTGAAACCAAGCTGCTCTGTAAAAGGAAAGACTTTGAGACTCAGTCTCACATACTCTGTGCAAGTAGGAAAGAGGGATCAGTCTTTGGAGAAAGATATCATGCTTGGAAGGGTCAAGGGTCAGGGCAAGACACAAAAATGAGACTAACTGATAAAATAACTGGGATAATAAGATCAGGTGTGTCAAAGACAGTAAGACTAGCTTTGGACAGAGCAGGGCTCTGAGCTACTGTGCAGAGGGTTGCTATGAGTTGCAGTGGAATTAGTCGCACATAAAACCACAACATATTCCTTTCAGAGAGTTCTTTTCTTCATCTGTCCTACTGCAATGTTCATTATCTATGCACTATTTTCCTGTTCTCTCCATAATTCCTCTATGCCTACCTTATTTTATAACAGTGGTGTTATGCAGTGTTTGTCCTTTTGTGACAGATATTTCACTCAGCATAATGTCCTCCAGGCTCCCACAAGTTGTGTAATCTTTTATGAGTTCACTGTTTTTCAATGCTATCCAATAATCCATTTTGTGAATGTACCATCATTTTTCGAACCCTTTGTTTGTTACTGGGTACTTGGGTTGCTTTCATTTCTTTGCTATTGTGAATAAAGTAGCAATAAAATTAGTGTGTATACATCTGTTTGAGTCATGGCTCTAGTTTTCTTCATGTATATTCATTCTCAGTAGTGGAATTGCTGGGGCAAATGGTATTTCTATTTTAACATTCTAAGAAAGTATCAGACTGCCTTCCATAGTGGTTGTACTATTTCACAATCCCATCAGCAGTGAATAAGAGCTCCAATTTCTCCACAACCTTGCCAGGTTTGTTGGCCTGTTAAACTCTGCTATTGTTGCTGGGTTAAAGGAAACTTTTCTTTCTAAAAAA